GTGTGGGGGAGTGGCGGCAAGCTCTTGGGGAGAAGTGGCTAGCCTTGGAGCGTCTTGAGTGACCTCTGAAGATGAGGGATGGGGAGTGGTGGGGATGGAGGCAGTAAAGAGCCCCCAGCCATAGAGACAGGACAAGCAGACAGAACTCCTGGGTGATCTACTGAGGTACAGGTCTGACCTCATCCAGTAAACTCCAGGGCTCCCCACTGCCTCCAGGATCAAATGCAAAATCTCTTGTTTAGCTTTTAAAGCCCTTCACAACCTGGCCCCTTCCTACCTTGCATGAACTGTTCCTTTCACTAGACGCCCATCTCCCACTCCTGGCATTTCGGTGGCAGCCTCTCATGCCTGGAACTCTTTCCTTCATCTCTGACTCCTCACTTCCCTGACTTATTTCAGGTCTCAACCAAAATTCTACCTTCTGCACGAAGCCTTTCCTGACCCCGTTTCATTTAAGATAATGCCTTCTTCCTGCCAATTGATTATCTCCAATTTAATCTGTATTTAGTTTGTTTGTATGCAGTCACGTGCATGCTTCCAGCTTCCTGGGGGCAGGGACTGTCTTTTGCTTTTTCTTTGTATCCTCAGTGCTTAATATAGTGCCTGGCACAGAGTAGGTTCTCAATAAATGCTTATTGACTGCTTGAAGGCAGGATTGGCATTAGGAGACTAGAGGTGCCATAGCCTTGACCCAGTTGGGATCTCAAAACACTCGAGTAACCTGGGTGGGGACTGGTTTCAGGCTTTCGCTTTTGGTTTGATTAATTCTCTTCCCATTCTTATCATATGTGCAGAACTAAGCTAGGAGTTTTGAGGGATGCCACAACCCCTGCTCTATGGGGCTTAGGATATAATTGGGAAAGACTAGACGCACAGACACACACAGACACACACACAGAGTTAAATTGCAATGCCAGACAGTGCTAAGTACCAGAGTGAGAGCTGTCTGCATTAAGGGAGAGGTAAGTGCAGGCTGTAACTGTCAGAAGAGAACTTTGAGGTCTGAAGAGTGACTAGAATTTAGATATGCAGTAAGGACAAGTGTTTGGAGGAAACTGAAGCATTAAGAGGATTTGGAAAACATAATTGAAAATTTATCTCTAGTTTTTATTCCTTGAGAAGGAGTCATTTTGTAGCTCTTTAGGGTTGAGAGACAGTGTTGCCTAGTGGGAAGATCACTTCTCTTAGAACATGTCCCTGAGGGGCAGCTAGGTGGTGCAGTGGATAGAGTACTGGGCCCTGGAGTTAGGAGGACCTGAGTTAAAATTTGACCTCAGATACTCACTAGGTGTGTGACGGTGGGCAAGTCACTTAACCCTGTTTGCCTCAGTTTCCTCATCTGTCAAATGAACTGGAGAAGGAAATGGCAAAATATCTTTGCCAAGAATATCCCAAATTGGAGCTGAGGGGGCAGCTAGGTGGCGCAGTGGATAGAGTACTGGGCCTTGGAGTCAGGAAGACCCGAGTTCAAATCTAACCTCAGATACTAGCTTCAGGTCCCTGGGCAAGTCACTTAACCCTGATTGCCCATGGATGTCCCTGTACCACTTAATAGCATTGTGACCTTGTTTAAGTCCCTATTCCTCTTTGGATCCCTCCTCTCTATGCTGAGTTGTTTCGGTCACGTCTGATTCTCTGTGACCTCATTTGGGATTTTCTTGGCAAAGACACTGGAGTGTTTTACCATTTCCTTCTCCAACTCATTTGACAGATGAGGAAACGGAGGCAAACAGGATGAAATGACTTGCCCAGCGTCACACAGCTACTAAGTGTCTGAGGCTGGGTTTGAACTCGGGTCTTCCTGACTCCAGAGCCAGTGCTTTATCCACAGTGCCACCTAGCTGCATTCATCTCCCTAAAGGAATAACAACGGTAGCACTGCCTGCCTCACAGGGCTATTGTAAGCAAAGTGCTTAACAAGAAAGTGGGGCTTGGTGAGTTGTCTTCTCTGAGCTCCTTAGGGCCCTGGTGGGCTCACTCGTTGTGGGTTTATTGTTGTCTGACGCGTGCCAGCTTTGACAACACTTCCTTCCCTGGGTGGCCTGACTCTCTTGGGGCCAGAGGCTACTCAAGAAAGCCTGATGTGACCCAGGGAGGAACCTGAGTCCTTGATTTTCCCCTTCCCTCCCCCAGGAGACAGGATCAGAACTTGTCTGGGCTGTTTGCAGAAGGAGCAATAATATTTCATGGAATAACAGGATTTAAAAATAAAAGGGACCTAAGAGACTATCTGGTTATAGTCTGATAGACCTTAAAGATCCAGTCCAACACCCCCATTTTATAGATTAGGGAGTTGAGGTACAGAGAGATTTTTAAAAAATTAAAAAAAATTTTTTTTAAATTTTTAGACAATTGGGGTTAAATGATTCGCCCAGGGTCACACAGCTATTAAGTGTCAAATGTTTGAGCTAAGGCCGGATTTGAACTCAGGTCCTCCTCTTCAGGGCCAGTGCTGTATCCACTGCGCCACCTACTTGCCCTGTGGTTAAGTTTTTTTGTCTTAGGTCACATAGCCAGGAAGTGGCAAACCTCGAATCCAAACCCAGGTCTTCTGACTGCAAGTCTTGGATTCGTTCCCATACAGATTTTCCTCTGCCTGTCTGGGGCCCTGCTCCTGGTCCTAAGTACTAATGACGAAGAGAGAGTCATCCTGAGGTTCTCACATCTATTTCTCTGCCTCCAGGCAGAAACTTTCTCCCCTTAATCCCCAACAGATTGTAGTAAGGGAGATGAAAATGGCAGGCAGAGGAGGAGGGATTCTCCTGCTCAGAGTGAGGTGCTCTCCTTATCCTCGGTCTCTGATTTTCCTGTTTCTTACAAAGAGTTCAAACTATTTTTGGGATCAATTAGTTTCCGCTAACCCTTGAGAAGGGAGAGTGGCCAGAGAAGCTCAAGTTCTCCTTCCCTTTATACAGAGTGGTTAACTGAGGCCGAAGGAGATTTGTCCGTGGTCTCCACAGGAGTTGGAGATAGATTGGAAACTTGCTTTCCTAAAATAGAATCATTCCATTCCCTATCCAGGGCTGTGGTGGAAGTCTCTTTCTTTAGACTCTTAAAACAGGAAGGAACTCTGTCTGTGTGGAATTAGGGGAAGGACGGTAACAGACGGGATTAAAAAAAATCAATCAAAGCATCACAGATTTAGAGCTGGAAGGGAGCTTGGAGATCATTTTATTCAATCCCTTCATTTTAAAGATGAGAAAATTGAGGCTCCCCCGTACCAGAAGGGGCTTGCCTAACGTTGCCCAAGTTGTAAGTGGTGGGGAGCTGGAAATGGTTGAACTTGGGTCCTCTAATCTTATATCCAATGCTTCTTCTACCGCACCATGACAATCAAAAAGCATTTATTGAGACTAACCAAGTGTTTTCAGCACTGAGCTAAATCACAGAAGGGAAGTTACAGAAGTGTTTATGACACGATCCCTGGAGTCTACAATTACAATCTTTGTGATCTCTCTGGGCCTCAGTTTCCCCATCTGTGAAGTGAGGGGGTTCTGAGTTGATGAGCCCATCAGATCAGTGGCTCCTTTGTTTTGAGCCCCTGGGGATGGGTAGAGTGGAGAAAATGCATCCCTTCAGCTGTGTTGTGCTGATGAGCAGCTCTTCTTGTACAGAGGATGGGGATGAAGGGAAATGGGGCTCCACACTGCAGCTGGAGAGGCATGAGGAAGCATGACCAAGGTGCCACCCCGGTCTGGCTGGAGCTGAGGGCATTGGGAGTGAAGATTGGAGAGGTGGGCCCCAGCCAGAGCCTGAAGAGCCTTGAGCCCTTAGTGCAGTGCCTGGCATGAATGTTTATTGACTGACTGATTGACTAGAGGGCTGGCCTGAGAGATTTAGACTCTGGTTGCTCACTTTTATCTTTGGGAATCCCGGACTTTGAGAATAAGAGATGAGTCTGATCTGACCAAGATTTAGCGATTAGTCCCCAAGTCTTTTTTTTTTTTTTTAAATAGTATTTTTTTTTTCCAATTGGGATTAAGTGACTTGCCCAGGGTCACACAGCTAGTAAGTGTCTGAGGCCAGATTTGAACTCAGGTCCTCCTGACTTCAGGGCTGGTACTCTATCTACTGAATCACCTAGCTGCCCCTTGTTTCCCTTCCTTTTGAATAACTTGGGTTTCTTGGGGGCCCTTGTGGGAAACCTGGGCCTGCCCTGTTAATGCTGGATCAGAAGTCAGGAGGACTGTAGTTAAAATCTGAACTCAGTCACGTACTAGCTGTGTGGCAATGGATAAGTCACTTCTCTGTCTGTCTCAGTTTTTTCATTTGTAAAATGGAGGTTCCAGTAGCATCCACCTTTCAGGGTGTTGTGAGGATCCAAAGAGATAATATTTTTTTTTTCTTTTTGGTGAGGGAAGCAATTGGGCTTAAGTGACTTGCCCAGGGTCACACAGCTAGTAATTGTCAAGTGTCTGAGGCCGGTTTTGAACTTGGGTCCTCTTGACTTCGAGGCTGGAGCTCTATCCACTGCGCCACCTAGCTGCCCCCAAAGAGATAATATTTATTTTAATTTAATTAATTTATTTTGATTTATCAACAATCGTTTCCATATGCTTTTGAGTTTAAAATTTTTCTCTCCCTTCCTTCCCACCACTCTCCCCAAGATGGTGCACAATCTGATATAGGCTATACATATACATTCCTATTAAACATATTTTCACATTAGTGATGTTGTAAGTAAGAATTAGAACCAATAGGAGGAACCACCAGAAAGAGAAAACAAAACATAACAGAAGAAAAAAAAATAGCAAATAGTATGCTTCGATCTGCATTCAAACTCCATAGTTCTTTCTTTGGATGTGGATAGCATTTTCCATCACGAGGCCCCAAAGAGATAATATTTATAAAGCATTTTGCAAACCTTAAGGTGCTATGGATGATGCTAAGGATGAGGATGATGATGTATTCAGTCTGACATGGTTTTTGATGAAAGAGTACAGTGGGGAATGTTTGCTTAGAGAGCTCACGCTGTCTTTTTTCTCTGTCCTTATCCACAGCCCATTAAGACTGAGAGTGCACCAAAGAATGTAGTGGACACGGTGAGTGATGGCAGAGCTGGCTGGGAGAAACTGGGGAAGGAATTCTGGGTAGCAAGAATACACTGAGCATAAGCGTGTGTTTGAGTATGTGTGTTTGGGTTGTGGTATATCTTCAGAGCGTCTTTTGCCAAGGTTCCTCCTTGGGGACTTGGGGGAATGTAGCCATGATGTGGGTGATGTTGGGTGTTGGGCATCTGACTATTCCAAGTAAAGTCAGAAATGTGCAGCAGGAGAGAGAGAGTCAGGTTAAGAGATGGGGCGGGGGAAGAGAGATGGAACTCCTGTGGGGAGCATCAGTCTCCAAGCAAGTGGATAATCAGAAGGCTTTCTTTATGAAATATGCAGAGGGTGAGAAAGCCAGTAGGTCTTCTCAAAACATTTTATACTTAGCAATGAGACATCTCCTCAGTGCTGCACCAAAAAAGGAAGGAAAGAAACCAGCTGATGCTGCAGCAAGAACGACTGAGGGTGGTGGCAGGAGACATTTCTGGATGTTAAAGGGCTGTGGACAGGGACCAAAATTGATGACAGAAGCCCTCTTTCCTAGGATGACCCAGGAGGGTCTCCCGTTTGTCTGGACTGGCAAGAGAGGCAGGCAGCTGGGTAGCTAGAGTACTGGACGTGGAGTTTGAGTCCTCCCTTACGCACTCACTAGTGATGTGACCCTGGGCAAGTCACTTAACCCCGCTGAGCCTCAGTTTCCTCATCTGTAAAATGAAGATAACAGTAGCACCTAACTCACAGGGTTGTTGTGAGGATCAAATGAGATAACATGTTAAGAGAGGTGTCTTACTGAGAGGCAGGGGAAGGGATGACATGTTTAGCGACAGTTACATGGCATGGGGGAGAAGTAGTGGACACGGAGTCAAGAAGACCTGAATTTGAATCCTACCTTAAGCATTTACCAGCAATGTATATCAGGCAAGTAGCCTAATCTTGCTCAGCCTCAGTTTCCTCATCTGTAAAATGAGGATAATAATAGAACCTCATTCACAGATTAGCTGGGAAGACTAAATTAGATAATCCATGTAAGTAGCTTGGCAAACTTTAAAGGGCTAGATAAATGTTAGCACTATGTAAATGTTAGCTGTGACTATCATGACCACTAAAAGCCTTGCCAAATTTCTGAAGGGCATTGGTTGGATCTGGGATCATCACAGGCCAGCAAATGAAAGTTTGATTTCCCTTTGTCTCTTTTCTCTGACTTCTTTTCTCTTTTCTTCTACAGGGGGAAGGAGCCTTCCGAGGTGGAAGCACATCCAAGAGCCTCGAGCAAGAAGTAAGTTTGAGGATGGACTTCGAGTATAGGAGCAGGGTTGGCTGAGACCGGCTGGAGGCCAGATTCCATGGCCAGTAGAATCCCATAATGGGGAGAGGGGGAAGGCGAAGGCAGCTCTGAAGCCCAGATCTGCTGCATTTGATTTTAAAAGGGGCTTACTCTTTACCCGTTCAGAAGATACGAGTTATAGGATGCGTCCTTCCAGCTTAAAATCCTGTGATCCTCTGATTACAAACTGTACTGTTTGCCTGTGAGGTGAAAGCATGGGCAGTCTAGTTTATCCTCAGATTTTGCCTCTAGCCAATTGAGGAAAAAGCAGCCCCGGTGTCCAGAGCCTACCTTTCAAGCCTTACTCGTTGATTCATCTCACCTCTGCTTTTAACCCCAGGGAAGGGCGGAAAAGGAAGGTGTACCATCTAGAAATAATGTGCTCCTCTTCGCTTACACAGAGGACAGGATGAGGGGAAATGGGCCTATGCTGCAGCAGAAGGGACCTGAGTCTAGATAAAGGAAGAACTTCCTGACTCTTAGGGGTCATAAGCTACAGTAATGGGTCACCAAAGAAGTGGTGGAGTCTGCCTCTTTGTGGGGAATGGAAAAGTGATATGTGATATGGGGAGGGTCTCATGGAGGCTCATGGCTTCTTAAGGTTCTTCTGGATCTGCTTTGGATTCCTTAATGATCGTTGGAAACCCTTAAAGGAAAACAGACCTAGAGAACAGATAGAGTGAGATTGTCTTGGCCTTGCTGAGGAACAGAGATTGTTTTTTCTTCACCCCCTAGGGATAGAACCCCAGAGGTGGGCTTTCTCTTGCAGGAACCTCTCTTTCTTTTTATCTCTCCACCCCCACCCCACCCAGGATCAGGGAGTGGTTTTGGCAGTTAATACAGGGGGAGTCGTTAATGGCACGAGGCTCTATCATCTGACAGCTGCCTGACTTGCTGGGAGGAGGGCTAAGGGCGGGGGTTGGGGGATGTAAAGGCAACTCGGACTTTGCTTTTCCCTGTGGGGCTTTGGGGAGGCCCTGGGGATCAGTTCTCAATTCCATGAAGGAAGAAGCATTACAAACTGGATTAAGGCTTAGTCTTGGGGTATCATGCATGCTGCTGAAGTGGGTGAGGAAGACTCTGGCTAAGGTAACCCCTGTTTCCTGGGGCTGGTAGGATTCAACGATGACCATTGGGAGTAGCACTGGGAATAGGACGTATGATTTTGTGGGGTTTCTGGAAGGAGGTTTGGGGAACCAAAGCCTCCCTCTGGTTCTTGAGATAACTCCTACAAGGTACTTACAGCCTCTTATCCAAACAGTTCTCCAAACCCTTAGCCCCACAAGATCTATTCTCTGGACTTCCCAGTGATGGCCACTGGGCTGATCTCCATCACTTTGTGCTGACCTTTGCACCTGTAAGCTTTTGTGTAGGCCAGACCTTTTCCCTGATGCTTTGGTTTTGACCGCTCACAAACCATCATTTTTATTCTACATTTTTTTTAACCTAGTTATGTTATTTCACTGAGGTGGAGCTGTGGTGGGGAAAAGTGCAGTTAGACGTTAGGAAGAACTTCCCGACATTGAGGGCTTGTGAATCTGGAATGGGTGACCTAGAAGAAGAATTGGAAGGAGGTGATGTTGCATCCTTCTATGGAGAATTTTTTTTAGAAATCAGAACTTTGTTGGAAAAGAGAGAGAATAGCATTTTGCCCAAAGTCGGGTGGAAGGACAAGATTACCTTTCAGCCAAGAGAGTACATGAAGGGGTAAGATAAGGGAGCAGTGGTATATTGGTTTAGAGATGGAAAGGTTCTTAGAGGTCATCCCTGTTTATCCCTGAGGTCCCGTCCAACACCGTATCTCTGATCTCTGAACCCCCTCATTTTACAGATGAGGAAACAAAGGCCAAAAGAAATGAAGAGAAATTAGATAGTAAGAGAAAATTAATCAAGAAATTAATAGCAAATGGTAGAGTTGGGATACTAACACATATTCTTTGACTCTTCCAATTGTACCTCACCTGTGGATTGCATGGCTTTCAAATTATAGCCTTTCCTCCTAAGGTTAGCAGAGCCCTTTAGAAGTTATCTAATTTGTCCCCCTGCCTCTAAGATGCCTCCAGTGGTTTGGGAGATGAGGGTTTTCTTGTCCCAAGGAAAAGGGATATTGTTTGAGTTTCAACGTTGTCTTTTCGCTGAGACCAAGGCTGTCAGTTGGATTGTATTCTTATCTCTGGATGACACCCTCAGAAACACAGAGGCCAGAAAATTGCCTTCCTCCAACAGAGTCGGTGGGGAGTGGATTTCGCGGATGCTATGCTGTGTCGCAGTTTGTTTTGGAAAAATCCAAGTTAATGGAGAGGAAGGAGCGAGGAAAAGGCGTGGCCTGAGGGGGGATGGGTGTGCGGAGGGGGAGAGGAAGCCACTGCCTTGCAGATGAGGCACAGAAATGAGGACTGCCTTGCAGAATCCTTCATTTCTTAACCCTCCTTTAATGACGTAGTTTGGGAACCTTGTATGTCGCCTTCTGTACCTTCGTCTTGTTTGGGCCCTTCTATGTAGCTCAGTCTCTGTAGATGACTTCTCTGATGGTTAATAGAATCATAGCTATAGGGCCAGAAGGCACCTCAGAGGGCATCCAGTCCAATTTCTGCTTCACCCACTTTGCAAACGAGAAAACTGAGGCCTAAGGAGGTTAAATAACTTGCCCAAGGTCATTGGCATTCGGGTGGCATCAGAGGTGGGGTTTGAACCCAGGTCCTCCGACTCCAAGGCTAGTTCTCTTTGCAGGATATTGCCTTTCCTTTCCAACTGTTCTGTTTTCCTCATCTCATGAAGGTACTCAGGCAGGAAATGGGATTCCTGATTTCATTCCCAGATTTGTCATTGGCTTGTCATGTTCCCCTTAATTCCTTTGCTCCTACCGCCATGCTGCTGGTGGGAAAGGGAAGAAAAATACCCAAGGACAAGTGGTAGTGTTGTTGGGTAGAAAGAATCCTAGGCTTATGGTGAGAGGACCAGGTTTGAAATTTTGACTACTGTTTCCTAACCATGTAATCTGGGACAAGTAGTTCTATCTCCCTGGGCCTCCATTTCCTCATCTGTAAGTTGACAAGATGATCTCTCAGAATCCTTCAATTGCTGTGGCCCTAAGTCTCCAAAGGATTATTCTGTGGAAGATAGTGAGAAGATTCTTTCCAAGCACAATAAAGGTGGAGCTCAAAAGGAGTTGGTTGGAAATGTTGAGGGAAGGATGGAAATAAGACATTGATTGATGGAAATTTACTGACTATCTCACGATAGTGGGTGATTTAGGATGATACTGGAATCTTTTTCCTTGGGGAACTCTCAGCATAGGAGAGAATCCAATTTGTCTGTATGATTGGGAAAGATTTGCCAATGGATGGGATGATCCTAGGAGCATGCTAATAAGGGAGGGACCTGTGTTCCATGACTTAGGAAGAGTTTCAGGGAGGCAGTGGATTGTAGTAGAAAGAACACTAGATTTTTGCTTAAATTGAGAGGACCTGATCAAAACCTGATTTTGATTCTTACTATGTGTATATTCTTGGGGGCTGTCATGATGTCTGTGGTTTCAGTTTCCTCCCCTCTGTGGGAGGAAGGCTAGAGGGGAGCATGGTGCAGTCAGTGGATAGATTCAGGACTCATCTTAGGAAGACCAGGGTTTGAATCCTATCTCAATACCAACTGTGTGACTGTAGACAAGTCGCTTAACCTCTTTGGCCTTAGTTTTTTTTTATATATATAAAAAGAAAAGGTTGATCTTAATGGCCTCTAATGGCTTTTCCAGCTTTGAATGTATGATCCTATGACCAGGAGGGCCTTTTCTTGGTCTAAAATCCTGTGATCTTGAGAACGAAATCATGTCGTCTAAGTGTTTCAGAATCCTCAAAGAAAAATAGAAAACTTGTAAGCAGTGAATTGAACGGTATTTTTAAAGGATGATTTTGATCATGGAGTATAATTGCCGTGCCACTGTTCTTCAGTGGGGTCCTGATTTAGCTAGGCATGGGAACAGGTCAGCATTGTCTTTCCCATTTTAACATATGGATTAACTGAGAGATTAACCCATCTTTGATCATGAATTATTGCATATGGTTGTACTTAACTGTGTAAGATGCACATTCTTGTGTACTTTCCCATAAATATGCCTGTGTATAGGAATGTATAGTTTAGCATAGTCTCTCTATTGGCATCTTCTGTAAATCTGCCTGCTATTTTGTAAGTCCCTTGGTGTAAGTGCATGTCTGGCTTTTGAGCTCATGCATGTGTGATTCCAATGAGATTATGTATGTAAAGTATTTAGCACAGGGCCTGGCACATTGTAGGTGCTATATAAATGTTAGTTATTATTATTATTATCAGTCCCAAATATAGTTGATTGTGTGGAGTATTCATGGCTGTGTGGGAGCAGGTATGCTTTGGGGATGATGAGTGCTAGAAATTCAATAGGGCATTAGTTATTTTGAGGCCCTTTCCAGGCTTACCACACACTATTCCCCTTTACCCACTATATATTTCAGCCAAATTGTCCTTGTCGTTCCTTACACATAACATTCCATTTCCTTTCTCCATGGTTTTGCATTGGTCTCATGCTGCAAATTCACTCCCTCCTGACCTCTACCTCCTATAACAAAGCCTTTTTTTACACAGCTGCCAACCCCTCTCCTGCTGAAATGACCTTGTGTCTACATTTTATGTACTTTGTATTTGCTTATATGCCTACATGTTGTTTTCCCCCAATAGAGTGGAAACTCCTTGAAGGCAGGGATTGTTTCATTTTTGTCTTTTAGGTGCTTAATAAATGCTTATTGATTGATTGACTCTTAGACCCTGGCGTCATTCCTCTGTCCTCAGTTCCACATATAAACTCCATCACCATTTCTGGAGCCCCATGCATCCTACCCTTTAATACAAAATTCCTATATGCCAGCTGGAGAGATGGCTACCTTTGTAGTAATTCTAGCTCATAGGCTTCCAGCAGTAGGTTT